CATTAAGTGTTAGTTCGATTTTAACTTCTCTTTTATTGGTTGAATCATTTGAGATATCAACCGTCTTAGTTTCTTCAATTATCGGTGTTTTCTTTTCAAGTGTTTCCATTGCTTTAATAAGTTCTTTGTCTTTTTCATTGTTAATTAAGCAATGCTCGTCATCTTGGATTAAAGAAGAACACCAGAAGTAAGGAGAAGAAGTTATATGATTATACTCTGAGATCATTACATCAATGAGTATGTCCTCATGGACTTGATCTATAACTATTCTAGGAGAAGAGATAGAAGGGGAAGGTGCTACTACTAAAGACCTAGACGACTCTATAGGGAGATACTCTAACTCAGACGACTCTTCGAACATCGGTCCTTGCCCTGTCGTAATGGATATCTTTCTTCCACTTGGAGTAGTTAGCTTGACGGTCTTGCGCCACCCTTGTAGTGATCCTTCCGCTGGAGTGATTAGCTTCGAGGGATCGAAGTTTTCACTTTGTAAGACTATTTGAATGAGCGAGGAGTTATCCTCTTTGTATGTTGGCTCATTCTTTTCTCGCCCAAATAATAATCCCATGACGTTAAATTCAAAGCATGGGGTGTTTTCTCCTTATGGACAGGAGTTGGGATTTCATCTGTGAAATAGCAATCCAAGAAAATCTCAAATCCCGGTTGCCTTATGCCTTTACGATAAATGGTTCGGGAAATTCGTAGCATGGATAGTCCTCTCCTTCTTTTATGAATTAACCATTAAGGGTAAGAGGGTACTGATCCATTGGGATAACTTTCTTTTAAATGCAAGCGTCTCTAAGTGCCTTCGATTTTTCCTGGGCTCGCTTAAGATATTTCTGAGTCGGTTCGAAACCAAGTCCGAAAGTATCTAATTTAGGGAGGCCAGGTGACTCCAGCGGTTTTGCTATTCCCTTTTTATTTCCTACGGTCATCCCAGGAAAATGTCCTTGTTTCTTTAGATTAGCATTCACGATCATGTTAGAATGGGGGTCGTGGCCGAGAGGGGTCCTTTCATCCTCCTGGATTAAGGAGACCTCTTCGTTAAAGCCCCATAAATCTTCATCATCCTCATCATGCTCCACATTAATTATTGGATTTTCTATAGACTTGATTCTCATAGGTGAAGCATCGATAGTTATAGGAATTCCCCCAACTATGGCTTTTACTTGTTGGTGGAGAGATGAGGGGACGACCTTTAGGTCATGAAGCCAAGGGCGTCCCAACAAGAAATTGAATGAAGCTTTGATATCTACTACTTGGAAAGTATTGGCATATTCTATCGCTCCCGCCGTTACATTCATGGTAATTTTACCAAGAGCTTGACGACGAGTGTTGTCGTAGGCTCTTATTCCTTGCGTTGACGGAGTTAAGTCTTCATCCCTTATGCCCAACATCCTCGCAGTTCTAAGTGGACAGACGTTAATGGATGATCCATTGTCTACAAGAGTCATAGGGACGTTCATTCTCTTACAAACTACTGTGAGGTTTAATGCCTTATAGTGTTTGTCACCTTTTGGGGGTAAATCCTTGTCAGAAAAGGTGATCAAATTGATGGGACTAGGAAGGTCACTCATGAGGAAGTTAGCCAACCCCTCAGGAGTGGTGTCAGAATCTATCCCTATTTTGTCCAAGGCATTCATTACAGCCAACCTATGTTCTCGAGATGTCGCCAGAAGTTTCCATACGTTCATTTCAACTTTTGTCTTCTTGAACTGTTTGACGATATCATTATCTTCAATGATAGGCATGGGAACTTGCTGTGTGGTTGGCATGGGTTGTGTTGAAACAGGAGGTTGCATTCTCCCGGACCTTGTGAGGACGTCTATTGATGGATCTTCTTCAACCCAAAAGTCATCCATGGCATATGACACCGAAGGTGGAGGTCCTACCATGTCTTTTAAGTAGACGTCTTCTTCGTCACTATCCCAAACTCCATTAATACTTGCATCCTCTTCTTGTGGAACTTGGACAAGCTTCTTTTCATCAATCATTTTCTGAATTAAATCCTTGAATTTAAAACAATTTTCGATAGTGTGACCCCCTGATTGATGATACTGATAGTAATATCTATCTGTCCTTTTCAATGATTCAAATGGTCTCGGTTCGAGAGGTTTGATCTCGCCACTCTCGGAGAGCATTTCGAACATTTGTATATATGGGATCCCAATTGGAGTGTTGTCTATTACTTTTCTTGGGTTTTTCGGTGACTTGTAAAGGAAAACGTGTCGCCTCGTAAGTCGTTCCCATGGGTGTGAACTCTCTCTTAGGCTCATTTTTCGGGAGTGGAACCTCGTCATATTTCTTCTGAAGTTCCTTAATAGCCTTGAGAGTTTCACGTAGAAAATGCGATCCTTCCATAATAGATAGTGTGAGCGATTATATGTCCTCTTTACTTGCTGGTTCTTGAAGGTTATCCATGGCGTCGAAAAAGATCTCCTCCTCTTCTTCGATGGCATGGATTTCTTTAACATGTTTGATGAGAGACGAGGGGTGAACCTCGTTTTCCTCATCGGAGATAGCCAAGGAATGAGCGAGAGGCGCATTATCAATACTTGGCTTCTTACTGGCAGGGGCAATGGCAGCTTGTTGTTGTCGATTAAGTCTTGGATAGCTTCTTTAAGCTTCCAACAGTTCTCGGTGAGATGGCCCCTACCTTGGTGATACTTGCAATGTGCATTGGGGTTCCAGTTAGCCGACCTCTTTTCGACTGGTGGGTCCCCAAATGGTCCAATAGGAGTTATAAGACCTTTTTCATTTAATCGATCAAACGCGGTGTCATAACTCATGCCAATAGGAGTAAAGTTCCTCCTAAATGGTTTCTTTTGTCCTTAATTATTCATAGCAAGGACTTCACCTAGGTTAAAAGTGCTAACATTGTTTGAGTGGGTGGTTTTGGAAGAAGAATGATTGTCGTTCTTCTTGCCTTTCCAGCCACTGTTAGAGTTATTGTTGGCAGCTTTCAACTTAGCCAGGTCGTCTTCAATATTGATTCCAATGTCGTAGACGGCCTTGAAGGTATGGAGATTATTTTGATATTTAAGATGCTTGGAGTATTTTTCTTGGAGGTTTTTGATGAATAACCTTATAGACTCTTTTTCGCTTGGCACCTCAATCATCTTAGCTGAGGTTTCTCTCCATTTGTTAAAGAAGGAGGTGAAGCCTTCGTTCTCCTTCTGCTTGAGGATTTCAAGTTCCCTATGGTCAGTCTCAACTTGAATATTGCATTTGTATCTATCAAAGAAAGCGTTTGCTATGGACTCCTAGGGTTCTTTCTTTGTCGAGAGAAAAGAACCATTGCTGGCAAACGGTCTTGAGAGATAGTGAGAATAGAGAGGGGGAAAACCTTCTTATCTATACCCTTAATACTCATTATTGTTTCAAAGGCTCTTAAATGAAAATAAGGGTTATCGGTTGCTTTGAATTTCGTGATTTCGTTGGCATTGAACTTCTGTGGAAGAAGATCTTTGTCCACCGAGACCCCTTGTGAACTAATCCCTTTAAACTTGTAGTCGCTAGATAGCTTGCTTAGAATCTCTTGCATGAGGTCCATCTGTTGTTGTTTTACGGGATCATCGATCTTAAGGGTTAGGAGCTTTAGTGCCTCAGTCACGGTAACCAGTTGGTTCCTGAGCTCATTGACTTCTTCTTGCGTTGCCATTACTGTCCTAGCTTTCCTCTTACGAGCAATGGGTTTGTCGAAAATTTGGACTTGTACGAAAAGATTGTCTTTGATTAACCGCCCTTCCTTTCTTGACCACGCGCTGTAATTTAAATCATTATGTGTTTTAATTACTGGACTCAAATCGACCTTGACTTTACGGTTTTAAAGAGGAAAAATAAAAAAAAATAGGTGTATATTTTGGCAAAAATAATATATATATTTTTTAAGAACCAAGTATTGTATTTAAATTGGAGGATTAATATCCGACTTACCCCCCTAAAAAAAAGACGGAAAAAACGCGCATACAAGACTTTCTTAGACATGGTCAAAGTATGTGTATTTGTGTGTGCGTTGAGTGTAAGTGACATGCTTGGACTTTTGTGTAAGACCATGGGACTTGGTGCCTATACTTAATTAATGACTTAACAAGGTATTATTAACAGTAAAATTTAACCGAAATACTTAGCAAACTGGTTATTAGACACAGAGTGATGACTCGATCAATAATCTGAACTGTCGTCAAAACGACAAGACTGGCGCCTCTCTTTGCAGTGTAGCGCCAGACGACAGCATTGTTACCAGGCGCCGCACTCCACAGAGTGGCGCTACAGTTCAAAATTTAGCGCCATTGCTGGAGCTTCGATCTGAGACTGTTTTCGGTATTATTAATCAACAGGGGTATGCCTAAAGTCGTACTAGGTCAATTCTTGCACTAGTACATAATTGACCTCAAGTAACACCCAAAAAGTGTTACATAAAGTGGTAAAAGTGTTATTATAGATAATAGGTAACACTTTAGTGGGTGATACATCCACCCATGTTACCTAAGGTCTTATGTAACATTTTAGATAACGTATGGTAACACTTTTGAAAGTGTTCCTATTAACCTTCTTACGTAACACTTTTTATATTATAAGTATCATTTTTAAAGTGTTACTTGTTATTTCTTATGTAACACTTACTTATCTTTAGTAACATTTTTCAATGATATAATAACACTTTATCAAACTTTTTGTATCACTTTTCTGAGCTAATGTAACAACTTTTAGATTATTAGGTAACATTTTTTAAACATCTTTTGACATATAATTACACTTTATTCGAAATCATATATCACTTTTTGCAAACTACTATAACCTTAATTTATTAATAAATAATATTTAAAATAATAATAATAATAAAAATAATAATAATAATAAAAAAAATAAAATAATAATAATAATAATAATAATAATAATAATAATAATAATAATTATTATTATTATTATTATTATTATTATTATTATTATTATTATTTAAAATGTACTTCGTACAACTTTTTAACCAGTAATGTAAATTAACATGAACAATAGAAAATAATTTGAATTAAAAACATTTCATAATCCTTACAAACAAACATTCATAATCACTATTTTTTTTTGGCTAAACAATCTAATAATCAAAACAAAAACAAAGTCAACTTCGGTCTCTGGACTATCAAATTCCCAAAAACAGTTAGCATAGTTGCAAACTGACAGCAGCGCGCGCAATATAACAGCAGCTATAGCTAGCAGTAAAAGCAGAAACAATACACCAGCTAGCAGTAAATGCTGCAGATCAAGACCAGCAGGCAGCAGTGGCAATGATAACAGCAATAGACAACAGTGACACCAGTAAGCAGCAGTAACAATGACAGTGACAGCTTCAACTATAACAACAGACAGCTCCAAACTTTTTGATATGATCCCGGGAAAAAGAATGCTAATATGGAAGAATGCTAATGGACTAGCAGAGAGACATGGTGTTGCGTTTATCAATAAAAGGAACTCTCACACCAGATTTTGTATCATAGTTTGAAAGAAAAGCTGCACAAACTTCCTTTTTCGGAGGAAATACATGAGCCTGAAAAAATATGTCGAGGTTATACTTTATTACATTATAACAGTATAAACAGTATATAAAACAAAAAAAAAAAATTCCTTTCCTAGTTGTTGTAGGAGGAGGTGAAACCTGTTAATATTCCACTAATTTAATAACTATAAGATTAGACGAAACCACTGCTGATCAACATAGCTTAATTTCCTTATGAATTTCCTTTAGGTGACCATATTTCTGCTGCCTGGTAAAACCTATAAGAAAAAAAGAAGTTACATTTATATTCACCGATCCCCTTCTTAGTAATTTGTACTTATAAGGATATAACTAAGCAAAACAATGTAAATATCCAAAGGTCTTTTACAAACTACTCTGCATATAATAAAGTTCTTCGATTCTTACCATATTCAGCAAGAGGAGCATCATATTTGTAAGAAGTAGTGATAAATGGACCTCTAGCTGTTCTCCAGAAGTTTGTCCCACCATCGTACTGTTTGACATGATATTTATTAGAATTGTTTCATTTAGGATAGGTGAATTATTGGACTATAAGGAAATTACTCTGTAAAAGTAGTTTACAAAGAATTATCCTGTCTGTAGTATGAACCTTACAACAGAAAAAGCCAGCTCGATAAACCTGCTCAAGATGGTATAAACAAAGAATAACCTTATAAAAATTCTCAGCATACGGTACATGTTCAAATGCGAAGAATTAATAGAGATACAAGCCACTTAGCCAGTCTAAGCCTCAGTCAAAAGCTTGGGCTTAAAAGGTCTGTTAGGTGTAAATTTATCGCATTAGAAACCATTGCTAGTGTTTATCTGCCTTAGCAAGCAACACACAAAAACTCACTGAGAACGTGTAGCAGTAAACTTGGTTATTATAAAAAGCTTTAACTGTGAAAAGGGATTACACAATCAGAAGGCTTCAATTGAAGAAAGCCTTAGTAATCTCATAACCAACCCTAGGCTTCTGCTTCAGTAATTTCAGAATAATAGTAATTCATCACTGTATATCAATATTTGGAAGCATGGAGAAAGTTGGGACTTGGGAGCCACAACTCACTATCAGAAAATAGTCATTTATAACTAAACATAGGCTAGAATATAGATTTTGGTACCACTCCAAAGGGTGCCGCAAGAATTTTCAGAATGACCAAATTACGAAATTAAATGTCATTTGTTGGCTTTGAAACTAACTAAAACTATAACCACTCTTACCACTACCAGGATGAATGCTATGAAAGAACAATAAACCACTCTTCAAATCTTTCTAATATGCAAGCTTCAACCAGTAAAGTCAGTTCTGAAGTCAAATGAGATAGGCCAACACAATCCAAAAGAAAAAAAAAAATTGGATTGCACAAAAGTACTGAAATGGGCAAGGTTTAAATAAGCATAAATATTAGTGAACATATTACTTCATATACAAGCAGTTTAAGGAGCAAAATAAAATGAGCACCAATAAAGCAACAAATAAGATATTACCAACTATACAAGCAATCCTATAAAAAAATTTCATTGAACAATCAAGCAGGTAAATACTATTTATTGCTCCATTGTGGAATACCTTTAGAAAAAGCTGAAATAAATAGAATAGCCATATATTTTGAAATCAAACCAACGGGAATCCTAAAATCCCGTACCCCCGACCGCCACCTTTCTCCCACTCCTAACAATTAACAAACAACAGACCAACATAATTAACATCTGCATGACTACATTGCACTTAATTTCACACATTGCATATAAACAATAAAAATTGCTGGGAAAAAAATGAAGGATACTGAAATATGTAAGGTCCACTCTCAGCAGACATTATAGAAGGATCATTCTGACCTTTTAATTTGAAAGATTTTTGAACAAAGCTTTTGATTTGCTTCTTGTAATATTCAGCATCTTTCACATCGACCATCCATTACACGAGTAATCATCGTTAAATACACCATTTTGTTCTACTTTTTACGGCTGCAAATCAAATCAAATAGCAACAAAAATCAAATATATTGAATAAAAATTCGAAAATTAGCAAATTAGGGCTTTAAATTTCGGGATTTTCAACCAAAATGATGAACATTTAAATGCAAATTCGAAATGAATTCCAGAATTATTAACTGAATCAGAATAGTTTAGGCGGTTTAGCAACAAATTCTGTCGTTAGTATAACCAATTGTTTAATAGTTTAGAAGAACCGCAAATTAATTATACTAACAAGTAAACTTTGACAAACCCTAGATTTTAAAATTGATATTCGATGATTAATTACAAGAAAGAAAACCTTACCTCAAAAGTTGTTTCAATGGAGAAGAGAAAGCCTAAAAGCCGCAATTAAAGGGAAACGATTATGAGATTAGAGCTGTGAAGTCGCTTCACTGGAAAATTTACACGGCAAGGGAATCAGCAAGAACCATCAGACAATTGCAATAAGCTGGTTCTTTGCATGCTTTATGAGGAGAGAATACTTAAAGCACGCTCCAATGGATCGGAAGAGATATAAAATTCAGTATGCCTGGAAAACTCAATGGATCGGGGAGGAGGTTAGGAGAGAGAAAGTAGGCTGCATTTACACATTTTGAGGGTCAAAAAGGTTCGAGCACTGTAGATAGAAAATTTATTATTCCCTCCGTTTCATAATGTTAGTCCTATATACTATTTTTGGAATTTCAAAAAGATCTACTCATATTGAACATATTTTATTTATAACTTGATTTTTTTGGAATTAATTAGGTGTAGATTGATGACATGACTATAAGTAATGAAATTTTTACCATAAATTATGCAACTATGACTTGTGCGTTCCTAATAAAAAAGTTAAATAAGATAAACTAATTATGAAGTATATTGTACTTGTTAGATTCTTAATATATTTCTTTTCGTATTTTATGTGATAGATTCTATATGGGACTAACATTATGAAACGGAGGGAGTAACAAAGAAGCAATCCTTAGGTCCGAGCACGAGTAATAATAATAATAATAATAATAATAATAATAATAATAATAACAACAACAACAACAACCACGTTAATAATAATAACATTAATAATAGTATTAATAATAATGTTGAAATTTGCTCGGCTCAGCTCAGCTCTACTATCCTGAAATTTGTTCTGTTATGCTCTACTGAAATTTAATCTGCTCAACTCTGTCCAGAAGCTCAAAAGAATAGGGCCTTATTTAGGTGTTAGGACTTTTACAGGTTAGGGATTTGGGAAAACTGTTACCCTTAACTTACAAGGGTACCGGTTCCCCCGATGAACATTTTTTCCCTGTTTATTTGTGTTTTTCTACTAGTAGACTAGTGGTACGATGGAACCAACCAGACTGGCCTAGTGGATAACTTAAGAATACAGAAACAAAAATAGAAATTGGACCAGAGAATAAGATTGCATTATAAGGGAGCTGTTAATTACAAATAAATCTTACAATTGCTATAAAGTATTTATATTATAATAGTGTTACGGTCTAATAATGACTCCTAATATTATAGTTTATAATCATGTGGTACCTTAAATTAAAGCATTACAATAAAGTGCTACTTAATACCAAAGTGTTACAATTAAGTGTTACTTAATATTAATGTGTTACAATCAAGTGATACATGATGTCAAAGTGTTACAAAAGTGTTACTTATAAATTAATTAAGGTTCTAACCTTCAAAGTGATACAATTTGGTGTTACCTAAGGTCAATTTTGTAGTAGTGTTGTTAAAATATTAGACTTTATTTACTCAAATTAATTAATTAATTAGGCAAAGTTATTTTAGTCATTAATTTATTTAATCTTAGCACAAGTTAAACAAACGGTTAGGAAAAACACATAGAATATGCACAACAATAGTGCACAATTAGTCAAGTAGGCACAATATGATGCAATGACTTTGCAACCTAACCATGGCTCTAGTTCTCTAAAGTTCGGGATATGGGTTAGTCAATAGAGGGTCCATGGTTAATTGTCCGGATGCACCGCGCGGAAGCCTAACCGTGAAGGGTTGGCGCGAGTGGATGGGACACCGCGAATTTTAGAAAAAACTCGCTTCCATGGTTTGGTGAATTCAACATTCTCAGATGTACCCTTTGTTGCTCAGAGCGTTCAATCAGGTAGATGGAGCATGAATTCCCAGGGGGTTATGTCCATATGTAGAACACATATGAGTTTCAGAAAAGTGAGAAAAACTCAATCAGGAGTTAGGATCAAGCAAACAATGCGAAAAACTGGTCAAAATTAGAACGCATATTTCTGGCTCAGTATTGGAAGAATTTGGCGCCAGCAAACAAAGATTGGCGCCGATTTTTGGCTGTAGTACCTTGCGACAGAGCTGACGTCTGGCGCTATAATCAAAGTTCTGGCGCTAATCTTTTCTCGCTGACGCTAATTCCTACATGCCTCAGCAGCTTTCTGTGCTTGATAAAATTTTCCAGTTTCGCGCAGTGTTATTTCGGTCCTAGTTGTGAAAGATATTCATCAAATTTCCTACGTGTAAAAATCCTATGTTTTAACTCATTACGGATGGTTTTTTCCAATGAGATCTTTTTTATGCATATGACAATAATGTTAATCAAAATTACACACATGAAATACTTAGAACGTTTCGAGTCTCATCCACTCATTCTAAATCATTGCCGAAATAAATTTAAGGAATTAAAATAGGAATCCTTCCCAGTGGAGTCGCCAAAAACTGTAGGGAATATTTCAAGCATTATCCCTAGCTTGAACCCCACTGTGATCATACACTAAAGTACGGTGGCATCCAAAGGGAAAGAAGATAGAGCAAAAGAGTCGCCAACAAGTTTTTTTTAGGAACTTGTAAATCGTTCACGAGGTGAAGGTTACACCCCTTAACGATCCAGGAGATCGTCAACTCCAATAGGTCTTGAACCATGACTGGTAGTTCGGGGATGAAGGTACAAATCCAACCTAAAAGAGATTGAACCTGCCCTAATAATAGGCCTCTACTTTATTATGATCTTATTCATGTGCGCTTTCTGACTAACATGCAATCAATAGGATTACCCTAAACCTATTTATCTATGTTGGTTGAATATTAATGCACAAATAAACTATTATTGGCGATCACTTGAATTATAATCAAATTAACCCTAACAAGATTATTAATTATCTTATTAAGAGTGATTACAAATACCAATTCCCTTTAAACATGCATAAAAGGTGTGATCAAGCAATAACAATAAATATAATCAAGCAACATAATAATCATAACAATTATAACAATAATAATCATCATAAATTATGTTCATGTTAAAAATAAAGCATAATAATAGCAAGATCCTAGGCATGATACTAACAAGATTAACAACAAACCCTAGCATGTCACTAAACAATAAAAATCAAAGCTTTAGCCCTAACATGATACTAACAATCATAAATATTAGGAAGAACATAGGAAGCATCATACTTTTAATCATACTTGATATTAAAGTTACCCTAGACATGATACTAGGAATCAAAATAACAATTTAAGCATGATTTCTATATCATAATATCAATTAAACCATTAAAGTACTTACTTGGATGCTTCGTACCTCTTTCTAATAAAAAAATACACACGTTATTAACTTCAAGGAAAATAATAAACCAAAGAATTAAATTAAATTTTAAAAAGAGAGATTTTGGACCAAACCCTCAGAAATTAAAACCTTTCACGTCTAGGGCGAAGGAAACTTTGAATATGGCTAGGTGTATCTTAGTCTTGCGAATGCGGAATTTTGTATTTGAGAGAAGGCTAGTTTAGAAAAGAGAGAGAGAGAGTAATCAAGAAAATCTTGAAAAGAGTTGGTGAGAATTGGTGAATGAAAACGGGGTTTTTAGAAGACTATTTATAGAGAAAATCAGCCAAAAAGATAAATAGAGTTCTGACGCGTAAAACGAGGTTAGCGCCAGACGCTGACATTAGCGCCAGGCGCTAACGCTAGCGCCAGGCGCCAAGCTTAGCGTCAGGCGCTAATGCTGGCGTTTGGCGCTAACTTAATTATTGACGCGTTTTCTTAAAATCAGATAGAAATTGTCGTACAGGAGGATAAAAACGTATTTTCCTCAAAAACATTCTTTTATTCTGATTAAAACTCTAAAAAGTCAACAAAAGTCAATTTATCAATGGTAATTGAATTAGGAATGAAAAGAACCTTCTAGAAGAATCTAGAAGACTAAAACCATTCCTAATTGCATTAGGAATGATAAATCCATATTAGGCCCTCCTCTAGATCATTGGGCCGCATATAAGGCTCAAACCGGGCCTAGTTCAGTAATTTGGCCATAACTTCCTCAATATTCATCGGAATTGGGCTTATAATATATCGTTGGAAAGCTCTTTTCAATCCCTATCCAACTACACTACTATTAGACCCATATCATGGACCAACCAAACTGGATTGGCTGTTTTCTTAAAATAGGTTTTCAAAAACAGAGAGAGGAGAAAAATAAATTAAAACTATCCGCAATACTAGACTTTCCACACTTTCACTTCATTTGATTATGATTCGACGTGAAAGGTACTCATCATCGGGTTTGGTTTTTGGGAGACACAAATGGGTGTCTACAGAAGCCCCCACTTTGACTGAGTTTGGAGAAACGCAAGTTTCGAAAACAAAAGTTAAAGTAGCGATAGGGGCGGAGAATGATTCAGAACATTCTGCGATCCTAAATCACTCTTGTAACGCCGATACCTGCAAACTAGCGTTAGTTAAACAGCTAAAAGAGTTAAGAAACGCGTATCTTGCACCGTCGAGCACACGTCTCTGAAAGTAACCGATTTGTTGTTGTTTTTCCTGTTTTGATGACCTCTTGCAAGTTAGAGAATGCCATCCTTTTTGAAAAGTGCTACGCTTGTAACTGCCTCCAATTTTCTCCTTGATAATATTCCACAAGCCAGGGAACACTATCGAAGATTGCTTCGCTTGAAACGATCCTCTTCTGCTTTGTGACCATCTTCCACATCTTAGGGAACACGAACGAAGACAACTTCTCTTAAAATCACCTTCAGTTGTTTGTGACAACTCTCCGCAAGCTAGGGAACGCTGCAGAAGATATCCTCGCTTGAAGCTATCCTCATTTGTTGCGATAATTTTCCAAAGGAAATTGCCAAAGACCTCCGCTTGTCGATCTTTAAAAGCTCGCTTGAACTTTGCTTCCGCTATGCCTGTATGTCGACACTTTTGCTGCTTGTGAACCTATATGTCGGTGCCTTTTCCTGAATTATGAACCAGTATGTCGGTGCCTTTTTGAATGAACCAGTATGTCGGTGCCTTTTGTGGCGAATCAATGCTTAGGCGCTTTAAGCTAAGTGAGACGATCTTTCATTAGGTCGATCACTTTATGTAATCAAGTTGATTACTAAATATTGTGTCAAATTTCTTAGAGGGGCTAACTGGCGTACCAAGGAACCCAAAAACATACTGGATCATGAATAAACTGTTAGTAACTTCAATAAATTGCTACATCATGAATAAATTGTTAGTAACTTCAATAAAAATATAAAGTAAATGGAAATTAAATTAAATTAAAAGTAGAGTTGATTTGGTCCAAACCCTCATTTAATTCTACCTATCACAC